CCAGTGGCTAAGTACTATTGCAAACACAATGTAAAAGACACTTTCCAATTCATCGATATCCTGCGTGAGCAGCCAGTACCGTCTTCTTCCCACATGTGCTCCTTCGACGTTGTAAGCTTGTTCACCAATGTGCCCGTGATGGAGACAATTGACATTTGCGCTAATGCTCTGTACCACGATAAAGAGTACAGTAAACAGTTCGATTCTCCCTGGATGTCCGAAACTGCGTTCCGCAGACTAATGCAGATGATGACAACTGATGTTGAATTTTCTTTTGATGACACCATGTACCGCCAAATTGACGGGGTGGCCATGGGTTCACCATTAGGTCCAGTTCTGGCCAATGTGTTTGTCGGGTTTTATGAATCGAAGATTCCAAGTGCGATGTGGCCAAGCTTATATGTTAGATTCGTAGATGATTCGTTCACGCATTTCCGTAATCTGGAACAATCGAATGAGTTTCTTGGTATGCTCAACAACCTACATCCCGCTCTGAAATTTACATGTGAACATGAGCAGTCAAACCGTTTGTCTTTTCTCGATGTGTTAGTCGAGAAAACGGAGATGGCTGTTTCAACTTCAGTATATCGAAAACCAACGTTCACCGGGCAATACATTGTCTACGACTCCTATTGCTCGACTTTATACAAAACTAATCTCGTACGAAATTTGATCATGCGCGCTAGGCGGATTTGCTCGCCTGATAAGCTTCAGCAAGAGCTTTGTTTCCTGAAGAAGGTATTCGTTCGGAATGGATATCCTGTTCAGCTCCTCAGTAAGCTGTTTAGTGAACCTGATATTCAGGTTGCCGAGCCTGAGTTTGGACCTGACCCATGTCGTGTATTTTTACGACTTCCATGGAAAGGTCAAATTTCGCTGGATGTGGCCCGCGCCGTGAGGACTGTGGTCAGACAAACCTATTTTGCCACAGCATTGACAACTGTCTTCACTACGGCCCGTGCGTTCACGGTGAAGAAGGATGTTCTTCCTACCCAACTAATTAGCCATGTAATCTATCATTTTGAATGTCGGCATTGTGATAGCCGATATGTAGGAAGAACCCTTCAGCACCTGAACGCACGCGTCAAACTACATGTACCATTGTACCTTTTGTCAGATGCAGCCAAAGCCCAGCGACCTGGGCGAGGCCGTCCCCGCAAACAGGTGCCAGTTGCACAACAGAACCACACTATTACAGCAGCGGGTGAACCCACTGCAAGTGCACAGTTACGTGAGACTGTAGGAAATGGACAAGCACAGGTACGGAGACCAGTAACAAGGAGCATGACTCGTGCGCTGGTAATGGCATCTACAACCGGACATGGACTGGCAGTGAGCAGTAGCGTGGGATTGTCGTCGGGTGCAGAGGACGGGATGGAAGAGGAAGAGGATGAAGAAGGTGTGAGCAGTGATGAAGAGAGTGAGTTGGACAACCAAGATGAAGATGACCGGACTGAAGGTGAGAGCACAACGAAAGGGTCAGCAATTAAAAAACACCTCTTGTCTAGTAGCCAATGCCGCTCAGTGTATGACGATTCATGCTTCACTGTTTTGTGCCGTGCTCGTAGGTTTCGTGAACTTAAGGTATTAGAAGCTGTTTTCATCCGTAAACACAATCCTAATCTATGCATTCAGAAAGAAAATGTCACAAAATTGAGACTCTTCACCTAGCATTCACACACATACATTCGCATACACCTACACCTCACACTTCCTCACTCTATCACAGTCACCTGCTTCCACGCCTTCATTTCACTCACCTTTTGTAGTAGCTCACACCGTCTGAACACTCTCACATCTTTTCTTCTAATTTCTTTCGTCTTCTCTCCCACTTTAGTTTTTTTTTTCTTCACACCTCACCTTGTATACTCCCCACTATCCTATAACCTATAAGTAGTTTGTTTTCCGTATAGCCTCTATTGTGAGACGATTTTTCCCTGATGATAGTCTCAAGAAAATCGATTAGGAACAACCATTTTAGATACATGTATTCTCATTCATCATTTTGTAATGTCCGCTTCACTTATACTATTAATCGCATTAATAAAGTTATTGTCTCCTCGTCGCCTTTTCATCTTCTAAATATGAGGATTATTTTTCTTATTCTAGGCTCAATGTGCTTTGTTGAGTCGTCACCTGCTGCTAACCAATCGACTTCCTCCAGTAAGTGATTGCGGATCTGTGTTGTCTAGATACCCATGAGGTCAAGAGGAAAAATGGGCACAATACGGTCTATAAAAGGCCCAAGAGTCGCCTGTTCAATCTGTCCAGGCCAAAGCTCTTTCGCGCAGGGAGTACTGCTGTATGGTGCATGTGCCGAAAATGCCAGGTGTTAACCTTGATTATCAATATTACAAAGAAACAGTCAGACTTGAATTGCCAGACCATTGTTGTCAACGCGAAACTCTGGCGACTTGTTCAACTTCTAGCATATACGAGAACACTTGACATGACTATGTTTCCCTCATTGACATGATGCTGGGTGAATTGAGTGCGATCACCTTCTGTCCCGGATCTACATGTAACTAGTAACTAGTCACAAAAGTCACTTACAGTAGTAAAGGACACATGGTTCCCCTCTTATGTCCATCCGTACATTATAGTACACTATGGTATTACATAATCCAATACTAGTACAGAACACCTTGTTCATGCTGTCAAACCAACAACGTCAATATACATGGAGTGCACTGTATAGCCATTCGCCGAACACCTAGAATTAAGCATCATTATTTTTTCTTTCGATAAGCAATAGGGCCCCCGGAATATAAATTTGATACTTGAGCTCTGAATGCACTTGTGCCAGTGGATATGACACTTATCCCCTCAGCCCTACGGTTAGGCACTGCATCTGCCGCTAGATTTATAGGGTTATAGGGTGTTAGCAGCCGTCCTGAGTTCCCTTCTGGAACGAACAAGATAATTTACTTCACTTTTTCCGCGTCGTGAGGAGGGCTTAGGCAAGTATGACTGATGGTGAACAGAGGGATATTTCTTGTCTCTATCAGCACTAGTTAATAACCATTTCTACTTGGTTGGGTTTCGGAATCTCCAGTCTATTTCCAGGTGAACAAAAATCGGAGAGTTTAACTTTATCTTGGTTTTGCTCGCCACGATCGCTTGTTTATTAAACTCTCTTCTCTGAAAACAGTACTAGTATGACATTATGATTTTTCTCGCTGTAGGGGTACGTTGGCGGTAAAAAATGTTGAACCCACAACAGAATAACCTTGAAAACAAGTAACAGTGCTCAATTGGGATGCGAAAAGATCAGTGCCCCGGAACTTTCCAATAAACAAGGTCCAGTTGACTAAATCCGTTTCTACTCGAGCAACAACAGCCTTGAGATGTCTCCTGATGATTGCGCGAAGCGAGCAAGCCTAGCAGGGACCGATTTCATTCCACTGAATCTTGAGTGTGGAACACGCAATACAAACTGCTGTGCTTGCATGGAACAGAATGCGCCTGATCCCTTTTATGCTAGCTTCGTGTTGCACTTTTCTCGGCGCTCTGCGTTAAAAAAACCGAGGGGCGCGTGATTAATTTGTGTTATGTAAAAAAATAAAATAAAAAATTCGACGGGTTCGCGTACTGGGTAGGTCATGAACAAGTAGTCGTACAACTCCCTGGTCAAGAACCACCTTTCCGCTTCCGTGGGACGCCACCACCCCATGATCAGGCGTCAGATGCGGCTCCTAAACGGTGGGGGAGGATAGGTCAGATCCACCAACCAGAGGCCAAAGGCCAAAATCCCATTTGCCACATTTGTGTTTTGATGGCAGGCATCCACCTGCGATAGATGTTTTCTTCTGAAAAGCTTTTTTGCGTAATCGAGGAAACAGTTCGATCACATTATTATGCCCTAGTCTCTCAATCGTTTCAAGCAACTGGTGCAAATTATAACCGACATCGTACCTGGTGTCCCTACATCGTATTGTCAAAGGTCTGGAGGGTCTACACAAGCTGGAAAAGTCAAGGCTTCAGCTCATCCTATACCCAACATCAACAGATGTTGAGCAACGACAGCACATGTCGAGCTGAGCACTGCGTGGCATCATGAATTCGTACGATGGCATTCATTCCAAACTCAATGTTACCATCGAACACAAGGCACGAGAAAACAGGCACCAATTGCATGATATTGGAACTAGTACTAAAGCATCTGTTGCCAAAGCGAAGGACGCTCACTCCACACTTGGCATTCCACACCTGGCGTTCGCAGTCAGTTTTGTAGTCCAGATTTTTGCCTTCTAATTGGGATACGATTTAACGTGCAAGACATGACTCACGAACATCCCTTGGCATATCCACCGGTCCTGGCAACTCATGATCAATCTGATTTCCTGAAAATGTTTTTATCCATCGTTCTTTCTCCTTTTCTCGTTCTTTTCAGTATACCTAAGCCTCTTGTATGGCCAACATAAACAGAAGCGCAACTTCAACAGGAAGAAAATGAGCTAAAATGGAGGGAGGGAGCTAATCTGGATGTGAAAACAGTCTAATACCGAGGGAGCTAAACATTTGGTGCACGGGTATCTAGCGTTCAAGTACAGCCTCCACGGCACCCAGTGATGTTGGTGAGGAAACATCGTGAGACAGTCTGAGAGATCTCGTGCTAGCATTGACATGGAGCTGGGGAGGGTGTCAAACGATTGTCACTTGAAGATGCCCGCATGTCAAGATCACTGCTGAGCCTAGAAGGACTAGATCATCTCCACGCTTCGTAAACGTGCCCCGGCTTGCTAATGAGTCAAGGGGAAGATGCCCCCAAGCTGTGGGCCACCCACGCGGCAAGGATATAGTGTAGACAATACCACTGCCGGAGAGAATTGGAGCAGCAATGGGATGAAGGGCAAGCAAATTAATGTCCCATGCCATACAGTATAGATTGACCTAACCTATGCGGTTTGGCATGAAACTGCGTGTTCTTGGCTCTACTCTGTAGAGGTGAGCAGACTAACGGCTGTATCTCCTGTTGGTGTTGCACGATTCAACATGAATTGGGCCTGTTTACTTTCTGCACCTGTGGAAGAAGAGTTGATCAAATCGCCGTGATTGGATTAAGGTCTTAGACAAACACAATCACGGTTCACAGGCTATCGCAATCTTTACCTGCTGTGAGGTTGCCGAGCTGGCCCCGCTGCCTTCATACATATTGCACCTTGTCTGATAGTATTCAATGGTCTTGCAAGACTGAAAGCGTCGTCCCTGTTAACGTTTGCAGTGAGGGATAGACTGTGTGTCCAACACTCCCAACGGAATGGAGAAAAGTGCCGAGTGGTACTGATTGGCTACTCGATACTATCACCTACTGAAGTATCATGAAGGATATACATGTAGGTAGACACCTGATACTGATCTGTATCGCCTTGCTCCAAATGAACGCACTGTTCGCACCTGAAGCAAGTTCATGTAAGTGTCTTAGCGAAGCTGTAATGCATGTGCACGTATGCGTTGGGTCAGCCGGGTGTAGAATTATGAGAGCAAGGAGGCTCAGTGAACGGATATTGGTGGACTGGATGAGTATCTACAAAGATGGGTGGGAGAGATAGATAGAGAGGCAGAAAAAGCAAGAGCGATATAGGGGTAAGAAGAGAAGGAATGCGAGTGAGAGAAAGACTCAAGGGGCGGGGGCGAAGAGCGAGTAAAAGAGAGAAATGGAGAGCGTTCAAAGAAAACTGGTGGCCCGAATGACTCCCCACAGAATGAGTGGTCCCCGAAATGTGTATCACAGAATAACAGGTCACCAGTAACATCAAGAGCATTGTGTGGATCGTATGCCACTTTTACGCGCAAAATAAAGGGAGTGGACGGTTCGATGGAATTCTTCTGTGCTGTGGAAGGCAGTCGTGAGTCAGTGAAGTGAGAATTCAAGTCGGCAGGAAAACCGCGAGCTCCCATGTAGGAAGCAACACTCAGTTCCCCAAAATAGATATAATGAATGGAAATGCACTGCAAAATTGGTAAAAATATAGAGCATTGTATGTAGTTGGGGGGACTGACAGGAACAAAGGCATGCTATCATACAGCAGGGATGTAATAGAAACAGCGCAAAGAAACGTAACCAGAAACCAAATGGTGTAGTGTTCGACACCACTGCTCACAAGTCAAATCATATTCTTGTCTTGTTCCTTCACACTCATCCCTTTCCCTCGTGTGTAAGCTGTAGGCTTTTTGCCCCGTTTCTCTGGCTCCTATTCTTCGAGATACTGTCATCACATCTCTGGTCTATATCTATAATATATTTTTGCCTTTTCTGCTTCTTTTCCAGTGTATTCTATTGTGATGAAAAGGCTGCACATTTGGATGGTCAATTGTTAGAAGTTTTGATAAAATAAAATAATAAAAATAAATTATCGTATCCGTTCCCGAAGAAAACTCACGACGGCCGCTAACACCCGATAAACCCTAGCGGCAGAAGTTTTGATTGTGAGAAATAATTATGACGCTTGCTCTTTTCTATAATGCTATTGCAATTTTATGTCTAACATATTGATGTACGTTGCGTTTCCTTTCTGCACTCCCCTATGAATACAGTTCTTTTGCCGCAGTGCGACAACCAATGTGCCAAGACTTGTAAAGTGTCCGGCACATCATGGCACATGAAGTGCGGCTGGTCTACAGTTGCTACCTTCTCCAAGGACGGCCAGTCCATTACCAACACGTCAGCACTAACAGCATCCGGCATGACAATCAGGAGAAAAGTCAGGCACGATGGTGACTTACAAATGTAAGTGTTTTTTTGCTGAGGAGATATTTTTCCTGGGCATGGATCACCATTGGAATAAGGAAATTTGACGAACAAAGCCACATGCTGTGCATTCTGTATTCTAAAATGTTTACGGACCACCCAACGATTAGCCAATCTGATTGTGTAAACAAGTGCATTCACTTTTTATGCCGAAAGCGCTCTGAGAAAGCAATTTAATACTAATTCGAATCGAGTAATTTAGTTTTCAGTATCGGGGAAAGTTCCCTCTCTGAAAAGCTGGCTGGATGGGTCATAGGATGGTCGTATAGGTTATTCGAAGGATCTGACCGCTACAATTTGTACGTCCTGTTTTGTTTCGACTCGTGTACGCTTTCAGATTGGAGGTTCTGAACCTGCAAGCCAGTACTCACAGTGGCGAATATCGCTGTCGGGGAGTGAATGAACTGCGAACACTGTTTTGGACAAGATGCGAGTGTCTAGTGGTCACATCGGGTCAGCAGGTGAGTCTGTGAATTATGTGATGGCTCTATCGCGTGACGTTTTCCAGAGAGTTTATTTTTTAGCGACTGGCAGAATTTAATTCCCATCGCATCTCGTTCAGTAGCTTCATTATTGCGGGAGGCCCCAAATCCGTTAGGCTTTAGAAACAGACAAGGGAATGAATTTCTGGACACGGCACAGAGCTATTTAATTATTGAATTTCAATGTACCACAGTAAACCTTAGGACGGCAGTGGTTGTGTATTTTGGTTATGAGATGACTAATTTGTCTTTACTGGAACATCGAGTGAACATAGCAAGTGAGTGCATGATACCTGAACATAATTCCTGCTGTGAATGTACATGAATGTGAGAGTTCACTTGTGCGACATTTGGCTGAATTACCTCGCGCTTTTGATGACATTATTGTTGCGCAAATCTATTCAACCGCAGGAACAGCAACAATGTCTGCAGGCGATACGTCCAAAGATCTCTCCACCGGGGCCTCGCAACGTGAGAGGTTTTGAAGGTCAACCCAGCCTAGTGTTGGATTGCTTTTCTACAGGTAAAGTTTCTGCGTAGTTCCGTCTCATCCCCTCTGGTCTGTCTCATACATTGTGTACAGTTCATTTGTACTTCAACAGTATTGCCCTTTGTGTTGCTGCATGGATTGGCAATTCCAAGATTGCCTGAACCTGTGAAGTATTTTACTAGTCTATATATTTTCAGAAAAGAAAAGGACCGAGGAACTACAAGTTACGCTATGATGTCCACTATCACCACCAGTTACTTGACAATCAGCTCATACGATCACATTTCACGGCACGTTCTACAACTACATGTATCTGCCAACCAGCTCTAGCACGCCATGGATGCGCACTCCGACAGCCTTACAACTTGGATTGTTCGTTGCTTTGCGTCCTTGAATCGTCGTTGGACCGTATTGTCCAATGGTCTTGCAAGTATCGTCATCGACATGCATGTATGTACATCTGCCAAAGTCCTTCAACACAGATAAGACTTTCAGCTTGGGCTTGTCTTGGTTGCACGCACCTTTCCCTCCTATGGTATTCCTAGGAATACCATAGGAGGGAAAGGTGCGTGCAACCAAGACATGATCGCATGAGCTGATTGTCAAGTAACTGGTGGTGATAGTGGACATTATAGCGTAACTTGTAGTTCCTCGGTCCTTTTCTTAGAACCTTAGTTGTGGAACGCTGTTGGAGTGCGTTTCCAAGACGTACTAGAGCTGATTGGCAGTTTGTTGTGGAACATTAGCACTGTCGGTCAGTGTCGTGCAATGTTTGTAGAGCTGATTTTCATGTAACTGGTGGTTAAATTGGACATTATAGCGGAACTTGTAGTTCCGTGGTCCTTTTCTTTGAAATACTTTCATCCGTGGCTCTCCATGCGAGTGTATTCCTTGTTTCTTGACTGCATCATATTCCTCCTGCTCTGACAGGCGGGGCTACTCACTTACGTCGATGGCTCTTCAACAGCTCACCTATCTCCAGCGCTAGCCAGTGGAGCCCCACCTACGTCCTGCGGAACGTGACAAGAAGCATGGCCGGCCAGTACACCTGTGAGCTGCTGGAGAAGCATAGACGAGAATACTATGACAGAGTAGATTACTTCGTCACAATACAGCAAGGTATGGCAATGGCCTGACATGCGCCTGACGTCCGTAAATGCCGCGTACACAAAGATGCGGTGTGCCTGGTCTCTTGGAGATGTACATGTATATTATGTATATTATGTATATGTATATGTATATGTATAAGGCTAGAAAGTGAAAAGGTGTTTCATGTGTTCAGCCAATGGCTTGTGAAGTTCGACCGTGGCAGACTCTGTTCGCACGAGATACTGACCTTTAAATATATAATTATCATATTTTGGTCCAAGCATACTTCATGGTGGGGATGATAAATTTGATTCAAGTTGCATCAGAGAATGTGAGCCTGCCTAGTAACATTTACACCTTTAGCATTGCCCAGGAAAAGGCTGTGACTTGCCTGAAAAATTGCTTTTATTCCCTGTTCATTACTGCTGTTTTGTGTGTGTATTATTTTACTTTCCAAACTGTTTTGGTACAGACACCCGAAAGAGAAACATCAACAAAGTCATAAACGAGACATCGCTCGTGACGAGGAGGCTGACGTGTCCCTACGCCACAATGCCTTGGGCGCTGAATCAATCTGTCCAGTGGTCTCAGGACGGAACGCCGCTAAACTCCAGCACAATCGGAGTATTCTTTGCGCGGACAAGCGTGATCATCGTAGATTTACGACTCCTGGATTTCGCCCGGAGAACAACAATCTCATGCAGAATGTCCGAGACCAACGTCGAGGCGCTCTTCAATATTATAAGTAAGCCGTGTTGACGAAAGTGTACTTGCTGCGCTGGTGTGCTTATGCTTCGTGCATTGGTTCCGCTAAGAGCGCATGGTGGTGACGGATGTAGGATTATAGTGAAGTGGCCGAAAGCTAGGAAGCAATGTATATTATATCGACAGATTTGTTTGATAACTGGTCTATCGAGATTACTGCATGATCTTCAAAATGTTGCGGAAGTCCACCACCGTATGTGCATGTACATGGCACTTGTTTTGCTGTTATTCGGTAAAAGCGAGTTTGTTTCCGTGCTTGTTGGCACGAGGAACGTTTACCTATTTCTTCGTAACTTGGTAACAAAGCATCGAGTTTTTCTTCATTTAGGCAACTTATATCTCATTTTCTTTCTTTCTCTCCAGTGGTTCCTCCGGATGCACCAAGGAAGCCTCACGCGCGGCCAGGGAACAAAATCGTGGCCATCCAGCAAGACCACGAGCCGACAACGAAACTAATCGTAATCAGCACGTTCCGTCAAGGTCGCATGAGCATGGCGATGGCGACATGTAAGCGTCCACTTCACCACCTGTGACCACCACCACCATTGCGCTCTGCGGCCGACCATGTTCATTCTCCGTTTACATGTAAAAATAAAGTAAAGGTACAACACGCTGTCTGAACAGTGACTAGGGGTAATAAAATATCCACACTTCCTACGGCTGACTCCATCAGCCTCTAATTCTGAGGAGGATGAGCAGGTCTATATTACTGTGATACAGATTTCATTACAGCTGTCCCTGTTACCGAGGTGGTAGATACATTGTGTATGGCTCTTAGGCAGGAAGGAATCTACCTGTATGTGCTGAAAGTCCAGCATTTTTACGTCATGTTCCACACGTGACATTCACGCGTAATTAGTAGACATGATGTGAGAGGTGACATCCGTACTTATTGCATACTACCCTCTCTATTGGTCGCTTTCGATGAGCCTGACTCTCATAAAACACTGCACGCCAGTTGATATCTGGAGTACGTAAGCACGGTGTGTTCCAGTACGGCAGTAGTGATGAAGGCCTCCGCGAGGGCAGTAGGGAGACTTGCCGGAGTGTACTTTCAGCAGACCGTTTTGTCTTTTACGTATTAAAAAGTTCAGGAATCCACCACCTATTATCCTTTATCTGCTGAGAAGCTTGAAGCTAAACAGGGCAGTCAAATTTCCTGACTGTGCCTGGTAATGCCATAAGAAATCCCTTACTATTAGTGACAAGTAGCTAGATTATATTTTTGCTGCTGTATTCAAATTTACTGTCCGGGTGGCACTGAAGCTCGTGTTGCTGCATGAGGGAAATCAGGGCGCACTTCCCAGCTCGTTTTCGTCGTGCACTTGACTTCGGATCAATTGTGAGCGTGTTTTGCTCAAAACTTCTCCAAAACACATGTGCGGGTAACTATACGGACCAGCTGGAATGAATGAACCAATCCGTGTGTATATTCGAGCACTGCACGCAAACAGACCGCTCTTGCTGTGCATTTGTCACTGAGAAAATAAATGCAGTGATTTTCCACAGACCTTTACCACCTGACACAGCACATACACATACTTTGCACACACACCGCTGTCATATACATAGATCGCCTTTAGCATTCCCACACTTGGAAGTGTTCTTGTACGTGCTGTGATAGTCTTACTAGTCCTCTTTCTTCTGTTTAGGTCACCTTACAGGTGATGATTGTAAACTTTAGTGTTAGTTGTCTTGCCTTCTTGCCAAATTGTGTCTGTGTGTATGTGTGAGTTCTCATCTTTCGTTCTGTTTAGGTCACCTTACAAGTGATGATTGTTAAGTTTGCTGGCCTTGCCAATTGTGTCACCATGATGTGTTAGTTCTAGAACATTCATCTGCCTGCATAACTCGTCTTTATATTTCGTATTTTTGCCTCCCCTACCTCAATGCCCTGATGATGGCCAATGGGCGAAATATTGGCAAAGTTGTTTATTTGGTGCAGCTGAGAGCCTGTTGCCGGAATGGCGGTGTTTTCAAGATTTTCCACAGACCCTCAAAAATCAACCTCGGTCGCTTGCGGTGTGCTACGAAGGTCCAGACAAGAGAACATTTTCTACAATCCCCGCTCAAAGACTAAGCGGAGATGCAACAGTCCTCGCGGATTGTGGCACACAGAAAGCGACATGCAATCTTACCACCATCTGCTCTACCGGGAAAAGATCAGCCAGTTTGACAGTCTTTTTCTCTGGGTACTGGCCAATATTGACAGGTTACTGTCAAAATACAACATTGCAGTTCGAAGAGGCATGATATACAGTAGCTATCCGGAATACGAGTACTTCAATCTACTGTCGTGGACATGGAAATCCAGTCGATTGACCGGGGCCGGCGCCCTCAGCGCGTACAGAACGCTGCATGCAGTGCACATGTTGATCCGATGCGACCAGCGAGCTGCAGCGCATAAATGCCCCGACCGCCATGGACCACGGCTGCATGGCCAGCTCGCTGGGCCGCTAGACGTGCCACCGAATTTCCATGTCCACGACAGTACATGATAGGGCACGTACTGTGTAGTCAATCAAATGAATGGCGCACACCGACAGGGTACTCTAGTTCTAGCGCTGGTGCGTGTACCGGTATCTGGTTGTTGTCAGCGGGACCCATGGAGTTTAAGTACATGTAGGAAAACTGTCACGGAAATGGACTGATTCTGGGTTGAAAGTTTATCCTGAAAATATCTGAATGCGGAAAAAGATAAATTGTATGTCAAGAATCTACTATGTGTTTAGTATGGCGTCCGCCTAATGATGATGTGGTGGGTTCTCATCATCATGAAATAAAATGACTGCATGCAAGGCAAATGGTGGTGATGGTGAAACTTTACTTGCATCCAGAGAAAGAAGTTTGCTACCAACCAGGTTTGACTCCTTTTCTTTCTTTTATGCAGCTATTCTGAAGTTTGAACTGGTCCCCGGCGTGTCTCTGCTCCTTTCCAAACTTTGTGGGCATAAATGGAATCTCATCGTGTGCTGGCAAAGATAAAGACTCGCGATACTAATAGCCAGGTGTTCTTCTAAATATGAGGATTATTTTTCTTATTCTAGGCTCAATGTGCTTTGTTGAGTCGTCACCTGCTGCTAACCAATCGACTTCCTCCACTGGCTCCAGTAAGTGATTGCGGATCTGTGTTGTCTAGATACCCATGAGGTCAAGAGGAAAAATGGGCTCAATACGGTCTATAAAAGGCCCAAGAGTCGCCTGGTCAATCTGTCCAGGCCAAAGCTCTTTCGCGCAGGGAGTACTGCTGTATGGTGCATGTGCCGAAAATGCCAGGTGTTAACCTTGATTACCAATATTACAAAGAAGCAGTCAGACTTGAATTGCCAGACCATTGTTGTCAACGCGAAACTCTGGCGACTTGTTCAACTTCTAGCATATACGAGAACACTTGACATGACTATGTTTCCCTCATTGACATGATGCTGGGTGAATTGAGTGCGATCACCTTCTGTCCCGGATCTACATGTAACTAGTAACTAGTCACAAAAGTCACTTACAGTAGTAAAGGACACATGGTTCCCCTCTTATGTCCATCCGTACATTATAGTACACTATGGTATTACATAATCCAATACTAGTACAGAACACCTTGTTCATGCTGTCAAACCAACAACGTCAATATACATGGAGTGCACTGTATAGCCATTCGCCGAACACCTAGAATTAAGCATCATTATTTTTTCTTTCGATAAGCAATAGGGCCCCCGGAATATAAATTTGATACTTGAGCTCTGAATGCACTTGTGCCAGTGGATATGACACTTATCCCCTCAGCCCTACGGTTAGGCACTGCATCTGCCGCTAGATTTATAGGGTTATAGGGTGTTAGCAGCCGTCCTGAGTTCCCTTCTGGAACGAACAAGATAATTTACTTCACTTTTTCCGCGTCGTGAGGAGGGCTTAGGCAAGTATGACTGATGGTGAACAGAGGGATATTTCTTGTCTCTATCAGCACTAGTTAATAACCATTTCTACTTGGTTGGGTTTCGGAATCTCCAGTCTATTTCCAGGTGAACAAAAATCGGAGAGTTTAACTTTATCTTGGTTTTGCTCGCCACGATCGCTTGTTTATTAAACTCTCTTCTCTGAAAACAGTACTAGTATGACATTATGATTTTTCTCGCTGTAGGGGTACGTTGGCGGTAAAAAATGTTGAACCCACAACAGAATAACCTTGAAAACAAGTAACAGTGCTCAATTGGGATGCGAAAAGATCAGTGCCCCGGAACTTTCCAATAAACAAGGTCCAGTTGACTAAATCCGTTTCTACTCGAGCAACAACAGCCTTGAGATGTCTCCTGATGATTGCGCGAAGCGAGCAAGCCTAGCAGGGACCGATTTCATTCCACTGAATCTTGAGTGTGGAACACGCAATACAAACTGCTGTGCTTGCATGGAACAGAATGCGCCTGATCCCTTTTATGCTAGCTTCGTGTTGCACTTTTCTCGGCGCTCTGCGTTAAAAAAACCGAGGGGCGCGTGATTAATTTGTGTTATGTAAAAAAATAAAATAAAAAATTCGACGGGTTCGCGTACTGGGTAGGTCATGAACAAGTAGTCGTACAACTCCCTGGTCAAGAACCACCTTTCCGCTTCCGTGGGACGCCACCACCCCATGATCAGGCGTCAGATGCGGCTCCTAAACGGTGGGGGAGGATAGGTCAGATCCACCAACCAGAGGCCAAAGGCCAAAATCCCATTTGCCACATTTGTGTTTTGATGGCAGGCATCCACCTGCGATAGATGTTTTCTTCTGAAAAGCTTTTTTGCGTAATCGAGGAAACAGTTCGATCACATTATTATGCCCTAGTCTCTCAATCGTTTCAAGCAACTGGTGCAAATTATAACCGACATCGTACCTGGTGTCCCTACATCGTATTGTCAAAGGTCTGGAGGGTCTACACAAGCTGGAAAAGTCAAGGCTTCAGCTCATCCTATACCCAACATCAACAGATGTTGAGCAACGACAGCACATGTCGAGCTGAGCACTGCGTGGCATCATGAATTCGTACGATGGCATTCATTCCAAACTCAATGTTACCATCGAACACAAGGCACGAGAAAATAGGCACCAATTGCATGATATTGGAACTAGTACTAAAGCATCTGTTGCCAAAGCGAAGGACGCTCACTCCACACTTGGCATTCCACACCTGGCGTTCGCAGTCAGTTTTGTAGTCCAGATTTTTGCCTTCTAATTGGGATACGATTTAACGTGCAAGACATGACTCACGAACATCCCTTGGCATATCCACCGGTCCTGGCAACTCATGATCAATCTGATTTCCTGAAAATGTTTTTATCCATCGTTCTTTCTCCTTTTCTCGTTCTTTTCAGTATACCTAAGCCTCTTGTATGGCCAACATAAACAGAAGCGCAACTTCAACAGGAAGAAAATGAGCTAAAATGGAGGGAGGGAGCTAATCTGGATGTGAAAACAGTCTAATACCGAGGGAGCTAAACATTTGGTGCACGGGTATCTAGCGTTCAAGTACAGCCTCCACGGCACCCAGTGATGTTGGTGAGGAAACATCGTGAGACAGTCTGAGAGATCTCGTGCTAGCATTGACATGGAGCTGGGGAGGGTGTCAAACGATTGTCACTTGAAGATGCCCGCATGTCAAGATCACTGCTGAGCCTAGAAGGACTAGATCATCTCCACGCTTCGTAAACGTGCCCCGGCTTGCTAATGAGTCAAGGGGAAGATGCCCCCAAGCTGTGGGCCACCCACGCGGCAAGGATATAGTGTAGACAATACCACTGCCGGAGAGAATTGGAGCAGCAATGGGATGAAGGGCAAGCAAATTAATGTCCCATGCCATACAGTATAGATTGACCTAACCTATGCGGTTTGGCATGAAACTGCGTGTTCTTGGCTCTACTCTGTAGAGGTGAGCAGACTAACGGCTGTATCTCCTGTTGGTGTTGCACGATTCAACATGAATTGGGCCTGTTTACTTTCTGCACCTGTGGAAGAAGAGTTGATCAAATCGCCGTGATTGGATTAAGGTCTTAGACAAACACAATCACGGTTCACAGGCTATCGCAATCTTTACCTGCTGTGAGGTTGCCGAGCTGGCCCCGCTGCCTTCATACATATTGCACCTTGTCTGATAGTATTCAATGGTCTTGCAAGACTGAAAGCGTCGTCCCTGTTAACGTTTGCAGTGAGGGATAGACTGTGTGTCCAACACTCCCAACGGAATGGAGAAAAGTGCCGAGTGGTACTGATTGGCTACTCGATACTATCACCTACTGAAGTATCATGAAGGATATACATGTAGGTAGACACCTGATACTGATCTGTATCGCCTTGCTCCAAATGAACGCACTGTTCGCACCTGAAGCAAGTTCATGTAAGTGTCTTAGCGAAGCTGTAATGCATGTGCACGTATGCGTTGGGTCAGCCGGGTGTAGAATTATGAGAGCAAGGAGGCTCAGTGAACGGATATTGGTGGACTGGATGAGTATCTACAAAGATGGGTGGGAGAGATAGATAGAGAGGCAGAAAAAGCAAGAGCGATATAGGGGTAAGAAGAGAAGGAATGCGAGTGAGAGAAAGACTCAAGGGGCGGGGGCGAAGAGCGAGTAAAAGAGAGAAATGGAGAGCGTTCAAAGAAAACTGGTGGCCCGAATGACTCCCCACAGAATGAGTGGTCCCCGAAATGTGTATCACAGAATAACAGGTCACCAGTAACATCAAGAGCATTGTGTGGATCGTATGCCACTTTTACGCGCAAAATAAAGGGAGTGGACGGTTCGATGGAATTCTTCTGTGCTGTGGAAGGCAGTCGTGAGTCAGTGAAGTGAGAATTCAAGTCGGCAGGAAAACCGCGAGCTCCCATGTAGGAAGCAACACTCAGTTCCCCAAAATAGATATAATGAATGGAAATGCACTGCAAAATTGGTAAAAATATAGAGCATTGTATGTAGTTGGG